GGCGTGGCAGTGTGTATAAGTTAAGTAAACATGACATAAAGCGATTGACGGCTTCTGCAAGGCGGAAATTTACCTGTAATCGCACCACAGAGCAAACAAATCAATTGAGCGTCAAAGTCCCGACCCGCAACATCCTCGTACCCTCGTAGCCTCGACCAAAAGTTGGGTCTGAGGCGACGCGCTTTGTTGATAATTGAAAGCGTCTGCTCGCTGGCACACTTAATCAATCAGCTAAGCAGTCGATCAATCAATCAATCAATCAATCAATTGCTTAACATAGCAGCAACAGAAGGTTAAAGCAGCTGGCCAGCGTCGGCGAGCGCGGTTACTGGGTTAAGTTGGGGTTAGGTGTGTTTCAGACTCCTGCTAATTGCAATTAGTGAGCGCGACTTTGACAGCAACTGTGCAAACAACAACAACAACAGCAACAACAACAACAAGGACAACAACAAAAATAGCCAGCGAGGTCAAGCGGCATTGTTTGCTCAGTCGGTTGCCCAGGCTCACGGGTTGGGGTTAACTTGTCAAGTGCAACACTAAAAAAAGAAGAAAAAGTCCATAACAATGGAAAATGCGTTGCATGCGCCACGCGTTTGATTTGAAAAGCTCGGCGAGCGAAAGCTTCACTTTTCAATTCACAAGCGTTAAGCTTTCCATCAGCGTGGGGCTTACTAGAAAGTGCGCTTTGTTATTTCAAATAATATGTTTGAGTTCTAGGCCCCTGCCAGAGTTGGCACGCACTTGCGGTGAGCGACAAATATGCAGATAGGTTTCTAGTTTTTCATGAGGCAATAATTTGCCATGCATTGTCAACTGTTGTGTGTAAAAAATGAGGCTTTCAACGCGACTGAGCAGATGTTGAATGCTTAACATGAGGATAGATTTGCAATGCATTGCAAAAGTTTTTGTTAACTAAAAATCATTTTCGATTTACAAAAAACCTTCCTTGTTGTAGTATGAATGAATGATGATAGCTCATGTTAATTTTTAATAATTTACAAGCTGTTTATAAATATAAATGTTAAGATCTTGTGATATGTCAACGTTGTGGTTTTTAGTTGCTGTCAATTTCAAGACTAGAACTTGCCTCAATATCAAAATACAATTAAAAAAGATTATTTTTGACATGAGTGTTGCCATTTTGTGTGAATATGCGAGTAAATTCGTGGATTGTTGCCACGTTGTGTGAGAATGCGTGAGTTTGTGGAATGTTGCCACTTTGTGTCAAAGATAGATGCTCCTTGAACGAGCTGGTAACCCTGCTTAGCAATATAAAATCCATGGAGCAATGTCAGACTTTAGCAAATGTTTAACTTAAGCAGTCAGAACTGTGTTTGACATTTCAGACGGTATCTAAAAATAGACTTTTAAATTGCATACCTCAATTCTCGGAATGCCATTCTCCCAACTGTACACGCACAAACAAACACACACATACACACACACACACACACACACAAATCTTGCCTCTTGTTAGGCTTCTGCCAGTTGATGCTGCAATCAGCGCAATATGCCACAAAGCAAGAAATGCAAAAGCGTGGAAAGCCAGTCCAGAAATAGAAATGGGAATAAAGAGAGGCAGGCGGAAAGAGAAAGCCAAAGGGAGAGAGGGGGAGAGGGAGAGAGAGGGAGACAGCCAGTTTATATTTGCTGGCCCGATAGCTGGCCGAGCGAACACACAAACTGTGTCAAAGCAATGCGATGTGGCAACATGTGGCCGCAGAGTGTGGCACACAGCCACATTGCCACAAACGGTGAGCCGAGCGAACGTTGCATTCTGTGTCTTTTGTGTGGCACTGATGCCGGATCCTGGGCGCGCTGCCAAAGTGCCTGCGGTTATGCGCCAGTGTTTTGGCTGGCCAGCATCAAGGCTGCAACGTAACGTGCCACATGCGGGGGCAGCTGCAGGTGCTGCTGGCAAACTCAGAAACTCAGAAACTGAAACGAGCCGTATTAACGTCGCCTTTAAAATTTATGATATTTACTCGAGCAGACGCTGAGGCCAACGAGTTGGGCATTTTACTTAGCTGCACGGGATGTCAGGTGTGCTTCATGGAAATGTGTGTGTGTGTGTGTGGGAGGGGGGAAGTTGTGGGGAAGGGGGGGGGGGCTATTGTGGACACGTGCCAGCCAGGCCGCCAAGGCTTCTGCTGGCTGCCGGCTGCCGGCTGCTTTGGCTATGCATTTTTTATGGCCGCTCATCAAAGCCAACTAAAGAGACGCCAACAACTTGGCAATCAGAGCAGCTGCCACGGCCAGGCCAATGAGTACCTGCCCCAGCGAATCAACGGCGACGGGCTTGTCGGGCTTGTCGGGCGTGTCGGGCTTGTCGGGGCGCTCGGCTTGCACATGCTCTGTAATTAGGTTTAATTATTGGCTGGGCCTATAACAAGTAACAACTTTGTGTCTATATATATAAGAAAGCAAATCGTTTCGTGTCTTTTATTTAACATATCGAAGCTCAAAGCTAAACCTGTGTAAATGGTTGAAAGGGGTCTAATTTTTGGGTAATCTACGGCTCCATAAAGTATATACATATATATACTCATATACAACAACAGCCGAGTCGATCTAGTCATCTAGCCCCTCTGCCTGTCCTTTGTCTGTCATCCAGCAGAGTCCAGCCGAAAGACTTAAAAAAGTCGAACATAACAACTCCTGTTGCAGGCGTAGCTCAAGCTATCGATAACTTGCCCCGTTTTTATAAAATCGATAAAAATCGATTCTATCAACTGGTGTGCTAGATATGAAAGCCCCGCAGCTTATGAAAGCTAAACGGCATCTAATTAAGTAACATTTATAGCCTCTATATAGTATCGGATTGACAGATAGATGGACAGACAGATAGACAGACAGACAAAGGGACAGATGAGGCTGGCTCGGCTCAGCTCGCTGTCCTGATCAGGAATTAGTCGGAGATTCTTTTTTCTGCCTGCCACATAAATGTGTCACATATCTGTGCACTAAGTCGTTAAACCCTTTCATAATTTGTGGCATTTCGCTTTTCACCTCTAGCGTCTCACTTTTTCCAGCTTTCCTAGCTGACTTTTCTTAAGATCTCGTGTCTTTTCGCTTTTCCTCCTGCATCTTATGCTGCATTTTGAGCACTAAATTTAGCTCTGAGCTGGGCATAGTTTTTGCCTACCTCAATCTAAACATTTTGTTCGCTATGTTTATTCTGCATATCCTTCGGATTTGCTGCATAGTTCAAGGGGCGCGCACAGATTGCCAGCTGCAGCAGTAAGTGGCAAGTTGAGTGCGGTGGCGAGAAAGGGGAATGGGGGGGGGGGGGGGCGGTGTTGTGGCATATTATGCACACTAACCAACTGCCTTTATTCACTATGATTGGCCCTTTCAATTTCAAAGCAATGCCCCAAAGGCCAGCAACAGCAGCAACAGCAGCAGCTGCAACCTCGCAACCTCCACAACAGCCTCCGCACATTTACTTCGATGGCAAAGGAAAACTTTAACCCGTAGCTGAAATGGAAAACCTGCTTGGATGCCGCACTTTGTGCTAGTTGTGAACTCAGTGCCGCGCTGCCCGTTCAGCTGTCAACACCTGAGCTCCTTGGCTGGTGCCTTCTACGCCTTTCGAGAAGCTTTGGCAAATTTTACTTTTTATATATTTTTGTTGTTTTAGTAATTTTCTTAAGTGTTTGCCCTGTGAGACGTCTTCGTCGACGTCTGTGCAAGTGAACAAAATTATTAGCAGCATGTTCTGTCGTCGCTGCTGGATTGATTTTACCGCCGGTGAGGATTACGTGGTGTGCGCCGGTCCCTGTGCCTGGCCCTATCACGCCACCTGTGCGGCTGTCCCACGGGAACTGGCGCGTGAGTTACGGCGCAACAGCGCCAACAACTTTGCCAACAATTTCGCCAGATCCGCGGGCGCCGGCATCGAAGCCAGCTCCGGCTCCGGCTCCGATTCTAGCTTCAGCTCCGGCTTCGGCTCCGGCATGGAATGGTATTGTCGCAATTGTCGTCAACTTTATCGCCTGCAATTGTACTTTGAGGTAGCTACAAGTGAAACCCGTTCACATCACATCTAGCCGAAATCGCTGGCAGATACAGATCGTACAGATACAGATACAGATACAGATACAGATACAGATACAGATACAGATACAGATACAGATACAGATACAGATACAGATACAGATACAGATACAGATACAGATACAGATACAGATACAGATACAGATACAGATACAGATACAGATACAGATACAGATACAGATACAGATACAGATACAGATACAGATACAGATACAGATACAGATACAGATACAGATACAGATACAGATACAGATACAGATACAGATACAGATACAGATACAGATACAGATACAGATACAGATACAGATACAGATACAGATACAGATACAGATACAGATACAGATACAGATACAGATACAGATACAGATACAGATACAGATACAGATACAGATACAGATACAGATGTGATTGTTCCTTTTTCAAGTCTTTTAACGTCATAATTAAAATAATTATCGGTTGAGTGGGAGCCGTTTCCGTTTCCGCCTTGCCCACGCGCTTCTCATGCAGTTTTATTTCCACACACTTAACGTTAATTGTTGTTGTTGTTGTTGCTGCCTTGGCGGGCAGTGCCACGCCCCGCGGCTGTCCACCTGGTTGACGGTGCACTTGACAAAAGAATCTCGAGGCGATTTCAAAGACGTCGTCGCCATTTTTAATTGTAACTGTAATTTAGCCATTGTGTTTCAACACTTTTGATGACGCAGCGTCACTCGCTCTCTCTCTGCCTCTCTCTCTCTCTCAAGGTGTGTGTATGTGTGCGTGTGTGTGTGCGTGCGTGTGTAAGCACAGCTGTGGCCTCTTGACGTCGGTGCACGCGTCGTGTTCTTCGGCTCAACTTGAAAATGTTATTTTTAGCATACAAATTACGTGAAGGCTCCCACTCACTATGTCTGTCTCACTCTCTCACTCACTCTCACTCTCTCTGTTTCTCTCTCTGCTTTCAGATTGCCATCTGTGATGATTACAGCCTGCCTGTAGACTTTGTTAAGAAACGACCGTCCAGTTTCGATCCCTGCCTGGCCGAGGCAATACCAACGAATCCGGAGCATTGGATAGCGCCGAGTCCACAAACTGAATTTGTAAGTACAACTGAATCATAAACTAGTTCCGCAAGCAGAACATTAATTTAACTTAACAATTGGCAATTGTTCCAAGTGCGGCTTTTATACAAGCTTTTAAAGTTGTTGAACTTTACAGTGTATGTGCGCTATACAAAAATAAAATGAACTGGTTCGCAAAACGTTTTGCATAGGCTGCTTGAAAATATTTGACAGCTCTCGACCTTTAGGTATTAAAAAATAAGAACTAAATACTATAAAACAAAATAAAAATATTTGAAAACCTTAATTCCAAGTTATCTTAAGAAGTGCTTGAACCGAATCAAATGAATTATCTAGAATGCTTTGACCAAATACACACTCATTTGACGTTTGATTTTTTAAAGAATCAGTATCGCAGCTTGAATTCAAAAATGTCTACGAACCAGTTCGTGAGCTTAAGCGAATGAACTATTTAGAAAGCTTCGACAAAATACAGATTCATTTGACGCAGACATTATAAAAAACCAATATCACAGATGGATTATGTAAAGATAGACGAACCAGTTCGTGAACTTAATCAAATGAACTATATACAAAACTTGGACAAAAAACATAATCATTTGACGTGAGATATTTAAAGAACCAATATCAAAGCTTGACTTTACAAACATCTGCGAACTAGTTCGCAAACTTAACAAAAAGAACTTTCTGGAATGCTTTGACTGTTTGCCTTATATGGAAGATGTTATTTTCTTTTAAAGATATTAAATTAACACCTTGAAGTACGAACATACGAACCAGTTCACGAACCTAGAATATCACAGTAAATGCGAATCAGTTCACAAAGCAAAACAAACGAATTTCCTTGCTTAAGAAAAAGTGAGGGGCATACCCACATTTTTTAGATGCTATAAGGAACAGATATATTTTCAAATACAGTGAACGCCTTTTAAGAAGAACGCCTCGTTTCCGTTCTTATCTGCAACAATTTATAATATCTGGTTGTTGCCTTTACTCATTACCAAATTAATAATTATTTATCAATTTTTGTAAGTTGACAGCTCCGAATGTATTCCAATTAATAATTCGACTTTAAAGATAGTCATGAACTGGTTGCAGTTTTTGGGGGTTATTAAAGTTAGACAAAATATATCTATAATTATCAATTTGAGGAATTAAAAGCGAAGCCGAAAACGAACCAGTTCGTGAACTTGCTGTAAAATTTATGCAAGCCTGCAAATGGGCAGCATTAAAGCTTTAAGTGCGAATTTGCTGGGATAAATCTTGGCTATAGACAGACCGTGCAGCAGTTGGGGCTCGAGCTGGAGCTGAGGGTGGAGTTGGGGCTGGAGCTGGAGCTGAGGGTGGAGTTGGGGCTGGAGCCAGCGGGGCTTGCATTGGTAAAAAGCAATTAACTGCCCTCGGGCAGCTAATTGATAAACTGCACGCACCAACGGCAGCAATGACGGCGACGACGATGACTATGGCGACGACGAGGAGGAGGAGGAGGAGGAGGACGAGGACGAGGAGGGGAGGCAGGGGAGGACAACGTCAGGCGCATCAGCAATGCGCTAATGAAAAGCATGAAAAGCATTTTCCTCATTTTCTCCCATATTTGCCAGCCTTTTGATTATTTAACCCGGACGAAACAAAGCGGCGCTCAAACAATGCACAAGTCTATTGGCTAAATATTGCGGAAAAAAAAAGACAGCAAATGCCACCCCCTCCATCTCCCCTCCCTTCCCCTTTCCCCCATCAGCCGTTGCCCAGCGGGTGGTCAGCCATAAAAAAGCTGAAACTGGCCTCAACCAAAGCCAGAGATACTAAGTATTATGAAAACAAAAACAGCCCGAGGCAAGGGCCAGGGCAACGATCAGGGAAAGGGGGAAAGGGGGGGCAAGGAGGGTCGGGCGGGGGCATGTTTGGAGCCTGCAGCAAATGTTGCCACAAATCAAATGGCGATGCTGCCCCGCGCCAAAAAATCTCGGCCCGTTATCTAGAGAGTCCGCAAAAAATGTTACGTTTCGGGGCGGAGTTTGGAATTTCAGTTTTTATGGCCCCATACGAAATATATATTTTCCTATATTGTTTTCTCTTGTTGTAGTTGTCGTTGTTGTTGTTGTTGTTGTTTTTGTTGAAGTTACCATTGTTGTTATCCTGGCTGTTGTTGGTATTGTCCTTTTGCATATTGGTCGTAAAGTGAAAGCGAAAGCGACTGCTGCGCTCCGCATGGAAGCGCATAAAAAATGCTGCCTGCCACTTGAATTTCTTTTTATTGAAATTTGTTTAGCCGCAAGCGGCCCCAATGAGTGTGTGAGTGTTTGAGTGTGAGTGCATGAGTGTGAGTATGAGTGTGAGTGTTAGTATGTGTTGTGAATGTGGCTCGCAATTGCGCAGCAAATGTTTTCATTGGCTTGCAGATTGCGGCGCTACTCGACGCTGAGCAATCGGAGCTATGTTCACAAATATTCATTGTTGATTTAAGCTAACTGTAACTAACGAATGGGTGTGAATAATGAGTGGCAGGCGAATAAAAGAGTAATCGTTCTTACGATGTCTTTCGCTGAAAATGAATCATCTTCCAATTCTGCTTTGCATTGCTTTCGCTAACGTTTCACTGCCTTCGTATTTCCATTCCTATTCCATTGTCTATTCCCTTTTTGCATTTCGATTTATTTTCACTTTGCTGTCTCTCTCTCTTTCTTGCTCACTTCCGTTATTTATAAATTACCCTATGTATCGCAATCGTAAATTGTTTACTACACTTGGTAACTGGCATGCTGGTATGTGGCATAAATTCTTTATCCGTTCTTCTACTCTTGTCTTACTTACGCCTATGCTGCGTTCGTCAACGTTTCACAGGCTGCGCTGTTTTGCTTGACATAGATATAGAGCCTGATTAGTGATATTCTTTGTGTCATATTTGCAGTCCGCTTACTTTTCCATGTCATAACTTCACTTACGTTGCTCTCTTTTGGAAAACCTTCTTCAGCTTACAAGATTTTCCATGTCTATTTGCATTTATGTGCTGCCTTTATACAATTTTCACTGTTTTCGTAAATATTTAACTGCCTGCTTATTATGCTTGGCTCTCTTGCAATTGTTTGTTCAGCACTGAATACCTTTATCAATTCTTCTTAATGGCGCATTCTTGAATATTTTACTGACCTACGCTTGTCACTATCGAGTGTCTTATGACTTATGCGTAATGATTTATCTGGCTGCATGCTTCGCTCTGCTTTCCGCTCTCTTTCTCCCTCTTGCCCTCTCTCTCTCTCTCTAGTTCTGCTTTCTTAATCATTTTACTGTCTGCTTATTATGCTCGGCTCTTTCGGTTTTGCTTGTTCAGTTAAGGGCTTTCTCTCAAATCCTCTTAATGCCGCATTCGTAAATAAATTACTGGCTACTTACTGACCTACGCCTAATGATGCCTTTGTTTCTGTATGATGTGGCTTAAAATTTCTAGCGATTCATGAATACAGCTGTAACTCATATGCATTCATGCACTGAGCACATATGAATACTCGCTTGCTCGCTTTGAGTACTCACATGTTCGAATGCATCTGTTAGACAGTTCAAGGTGGACTTTTGTGCACACAACTGTTCTCTACCACGCCACCAAGCCGATTTTCGCTCAATAGGCCGCCTTTCCAAATTTTTTGAACGAGAATTTGAGTGCCTGCGCCTCTTACTAGCCGACCTGCTCCCCTCGGCTACAGTCGCTTTGAGCCCAGCCAATGGCCCAAAGCGTTAACGTTTAGCGCCTCTTTAGCTGGATGTTCCATGTTCTTTGACTGCCTGCTGCTGCTCGTAGAACTGCCCTCCATCTCGCTCGCTCTCTCTCCCCCCTTCTCTCTCTCCCTCTCTCTCTTTTGATGTGCTTTTGCTGCTGTGCTCCTCTGTTATTAATGTAATTTTATCTTTACTTTTGTTTTGCGTAAACAGCCGTGACGCGTGTCCACATATAAAAGCTGCAGGCTAGCGTGTGTGTGTTTGTGTGTGTGTGTGTGTGTGCGTGTGTGTGTGCCATATTAATGCTGCCTGTGCTGTTGTTGTTGTTTTCTTTCTTTTTTTGGTGGCAACTCACGTTTTAATGGCAACGCGCGCGACATTTTTCGATATGAAAACGTTGGCAACCGCCTCCCCCTCTCTATTTCCAGCCAACCCCCCCAACGTACCACCCTGCACACCGCCGCCCCTGTCTGGGGCTGCACTGTGAAGTGCACTTGGTAGGAGTTGTCGTCTGTTTAGCGAGCTGCTGTTTCAGCTCTTCTATTACTCTCCATGGAGTAATTTCAGTGATAACTCAGCGAAATCAACACAGCACACAACAAAAGCCACGTGTGTGCGTGTATACGTGTGTGTGTGTGTGTTGCTGTTGTGGCCTTTTTGTTTATTTCAATAACTTGGCTGCGAGTGCCATTGTTGTTGCTGTTGTTGTTGTTGTTATCGCTGCTGACAACGTCACATATTACTCATACGTCGCATTGTCTGGCTTAGAAACTAGAATGGAAAAAAAAAAACTGAAATCGAAAAGTAAAATTACAAATTGTAGCAACAATACCGAATTGTGTATACCCTACATTAGGTTGTTTGTCCAAATTGTAAGTCGAACTGAAGAGAAATGAAGAGAAATCGCTGCTTCATCTTTTTACATGCCTTAAGACCTTATTCCTAATTTGAGCTGCAAAACCATTTTTAGCACATTTGACAAGCGCTTTTTGATCTTTATGATCTTTACTTAGAGGACTTACCCCGCAAGTTCATTAAGCTATTCACTTTTTTAAATATATCTCCGCAATGCTCTCTATTCTCTCCGTAAAGCTCGGCTTAGTAGATAAATTAAGTGAGGTAACATATATACAAACTTTCTTAGCTAGAGCTCTTTTAAAAATCCCAAAATCCAGACTCGAATAGCTTCTCTGCTGAGTAAACACTTTCACATAATTTCCACAACTCCAAGTTCATTTCTTATAACAACTAAAAGAGCATGGAGTAGCGTCTGTATCGATTAGTCAAATGTGAAACATATCTTAACTGTATATATAGTATATGTTTTTAACTAATTAACTCGCTTGCTTGGGGTATATGGACATACATTGATTTCTTGCGTTTATAATTATAATTATATATGTTGATTATAATCAATGTCAATATACATATAATTCATGGGAATATTCGTAGAAATAATGCAACAATATTAGAGTAGTCTCTCGCCAACTTAAAGATGTGTTTAAAGAACAAATTAATGACTTGCTACATTATATTTGAAATTTGTTGGAACTCTAGACTAAGAAGTAATTTGTCAAAAAAAAAAAAAAAAAAATTAAATAAAAATGTTAGATACAGGCATCCATATATGCTATTTCTTATTACTGGAAGTTTGTGAAACTCATTGAAGAATCTGCATATGAAATTTGCTAACGCCTGCTCTTCTAGTTCCCGAGTTAGTTGGGATAGCACATAAAATATGCAGAATTATAGAATATGGGCCTATTCAATGCGATTTATACGGTATTTCAAGTGTATTTAAGAGCTAATTTTAAAATATTTATATGTAAATTCCCTTGTAGCCAACTCTTTTGCCGTTTTCGGCCAAGTTTCGTCTTTCTATCAAATGTTTTACGAGTTCAGACTTTGGGGAAACGGTTGCGTTTTTTTGCCGAACAACAAAGTTATGATACCCGATGCCGAGCAAATGCAAACACTCGTCATAAGCATTAGGCAGACATGGAGACAAGGAGACAGAGCCAGAGACAGAAAGAGCGAGGGGGGGGGGGGGGTGAGAAAGGGGGGAAGGGGAGTGTGGATGATAAAACAGACAGGAATTGCGAATTGTGTCCTGCGCAACGTTAAAAAAAGGGAAGGAATTAAAAAACAACAACAACAACAACAGCAGAGCTAGAAAGCTCTTTAGTTTTGCTTTCAAATCAACATCATCATCATCATCATTATGCCCATCATCATTATCATCGTGCTCATCATCATCAAACATTATCATCAGCCGCAACATCATCTGGCCACGTTTTCATTAACGTGCGCATAAAAATCACGTTGCTCCGGCAACAACAGCAACAACAACAACAGCAACAACAACAACAACAACAGCAATAACTGTAATAACGGTAACAACAACAACGCCAACAATGTGCACAAGCAGCAGATGAAGGTGAAGCAGCACAAGAACAACGACCGTTAGACATTCGTCTAACCATTTTGATTGTAGTTTGTCTAGCCTGCCATGCCCAATCCCCGCCCCCCTCCCCTCCCCCTTAACCCAACCTCTACACCAACTCCTCTGGAGTGCCGACTCCCCACACCAATTCAGGCGCGCATTTCCCCCCCAATGATTGGTAAAAACATTTTTGTGGGCGGGGCCAATCGAGTCGTGTGTGTATAAAATCCCCGTATGCCGATAATCAAGGGCAAATATTTAAAGAGCAATATGTGTGCACAATATGCGAGCAAAGATTTCAATTCAAGTTCCCCAACCACAGAGCCAAGGAATTCGAGATGACAACGGGCTTAAGAGAAAGAAAACAAAACTATCGCAACGAGCACGTGTTAAAGTCGAAGAACAGAGCTGTGCGAACTTTGTTGAGGCTGTTGATATTTCGAAAAAAATTAATTTAAACCGATTTTTGAGCTACATTATAAATGGGTTTTTTTTATTAAACCTATCGATTATAATCGATAAATCGATTTGTGCTTTAAAGTGTAGAAAAATCTTTTCATTTCTTCCCCTTATTTGCATGATTTTATATTATATTAAACTTTTGAGCAAACGATTTGAAAGAAAGTGTTGGAAAACATGAAAATATCTATTTGAGATAAAGCAAACGCGAATACAAAAAAAAAAAACGGATTAGTTATTAGGGACTTTTATTATAAATATTTAAAACATTCTCTTTGTACAAGTCAAATTTGCTGAAGCTTAAAGAGTTTTATCTGCATACATATTTAGATGGCACTGAAAACTTGCTCATCTCTAAATAAAAGGCACTTACGGACGGAAGATCAACCCCAATATCAATGTGCCATTTGTTAGAGGTGTGTGTGTGTATGTGTGTGGGTGTGTATTTATATTGGCTTTGCATTTATGAGTTTTGAATTGAGTTGAGTTCTCAGCAGTGCTGGCAACCTAAGCTCAGACAATGCCGCTGCTAGGAGCAAGTGTGGGGCGTGGTTTGGAGGGAGGGCGAGGAGCCGAGGTGCATATCGTATTTCATTTACCATAAAGCGTGTGTGTGTGTGTGTGTGTGTGTGTGTGTGCGGCTCGTTCACTCGATAAGCAGCAGCAGTTGACGCTTAATTTATGAGTTTCAATTAAAAATTCCTTTCAATTTCAAGTCCGGCAACAATAGCCAAAAGTGCTTAGCGTAAGCCCCAACAAACGGGACTACC